AGCGTCGACTCCTTCTCGATGCTGTACTCCCTGAGCGTGCCGCCGTCCTCGAGCTCCTGGCGCCCGAAGACATGGCGCTGCAGCTCAACTGGGACGCAGCGCTTGGCGTATATCTTGTCCTTCACGCTACCCACTGCGTCGCTGGCCGACACGTCCAGGGCCAGCGTGCCCCCCCCGAGCGTGCGGACAAATATCTGGAACTCGTCACCGACGCCAGAATCCTGGCAAGGGGAAGGAAACAGGAGGGGCGAGGCAGGGGGGGAGGGGAATAAGGAGGAGAAGCAGAGGGAGAGGGAAGGTGCGGAAGAGGAAGGGGGTGCGACCTCGCCCATTGGCCCGAAGCACTCGGCCATGGCGATGCCCCGCGCCACCGACAGCGTCACCGCCAGGGACGGGCAAGGAGGCTGCCACTCCACCAATCCATCCGAGAGGTCGAGGGCTGCGATCAATGAGGCTTGGCCGTGCGCGACCTCCGCCGCCGCCAACGCGCCCGCCGCAAGCCTGATCGGATCCCACGCGAGGTCGACCGACACGGCGTAGGCGGCGCGCGCGATGGCCATCGCTGCAGAGAGGCACTGGCAACACACGGCGCAAGCAACGAAAGCGCTTGAGTACGTTCGGTTGCGGAGGACGGCGGGGAGCGAATAAGGGTGATCCATGAACAAGATGAGGATGGGCCCGATGGCATTGCAGCGGCGATGACAGCCGCCTCCCTGGCGACGAGATCTCGTTTCGGCCCATATAGGGCTGCCGAGGAGGGCGGGGAACGAAGAAGGGCGATGAAGGAACACGATTGCGATGGACCCCATGGCGTTGCAGCGGTGATGACAGTCGCCCCCTGGCTACGAAGTACAATCAGCCTGCGCCGCACTCTCTCGTCTTTCTCCGTCCTCTCGCTGGGGCGCAACACGCGCGACGCCAACGGAACTCTCGCGCTGCGGTCCATCCGCGCGCCCTACCGCCCCATCCCCCCCTTCAAAAAATTGACCTCATCGCTCCGCGCCCACCCCCCCACGCTTCGCCCCGCATCAGCGCCCAACGCCCCCAAGCGAACGTCCCTGGCAGATGGCGGGCAGGTTGGCGTCGGGGGGGGGCTGGGAGAAGGCCGACGGGCATAGCTGGGGGTGTGACATGAAACTAAAAGAGCGGAGTGGGTGGGGGCCAAAGGGAATGCTCTGCCTCGGCGAGGCTTGCGGGCAATGCTCAATCTGGGGAAGGCTGGGGGCGGGGGGGCGGCAAGCCCAAGTAGAGATCAGGTTGGGCTCAGGCCGAGCGTCATCCTCCACCCTTCCTGCTTATGCACGCCTCCTTCTCTTGCAATCGTTTTGCCCCCCCCGCGCTTTCCTCGCCCATCTCCCCTATCGCCTTCTCTCCCTTCTCCTCCTTATGTTATTCGTCCATCCCCTTCCCCCTCGCCCTCCGCTTTCTGTTCCTCCTCTTGGCCCCCCCGCGCAAGGGCGTCGGCAGCGCGGGGGCGGGGGTGCGCGGGCTGCCTCTGCGCTGGGGGCGATCGGGCCCACGGCGCAATGAAGGCGTTGAAGTCCTGGCGGCGCGTCGGGGGGGGGCATGCAAAGGCGGGCTGGGAGCTAGGGCGGTTGAGTGAGAAGAGGAAACCGAAGAGGCTGTAACACCAGATGAGAGAAGGGAACACGGGCACAGTGCCAAGGGGTAGGTGGACGAAGGGCGAGCGGATCAGGCGCAAGTGGCGCGAGAGGGGCAGAGGGGGGCGAGTGGGGCACTGCGACATGGAAAGCCAACCGTGGCTGGCCCCCGCCGTGGCCGGCCCCCGCCGTGGCCGGCCCCCGCCGTGGCCGGCCCCCGCCGTGGCCGGCTCCCGCCGTGGCCTGCCACCGAGCACAGAGGACACAAGGGGGGTACAGAGGGCATAAAGGGCATACAAGGTGCAGAGGATACACGTGGCACAGAGTGTGCAAAAGAGCACAAGGGCACAGAGGGTAGGACACATAGAATACAGAGGTCACAATGAGGGCACAGAGAGGGCAGAGGGCTCGGAGGGCACAGAGAGCACAGGGAGCGCAAAGGGGGCAGCGGCGGCTCAAAGATAGCTCGGAGATAGCGCCCAGAGTGCGCCAGGCGCCACGCCAGGCGTGGGCCGCGGCCGCAGCGGGCGACGCGTCGCACGCGCGCGACGGCACCCTCACGCGTCGGCCGACGCGTCGCACGCGTGAAATAACGGGGACCGCACACTTCACCCTCACTCGCGCCCTCACGCGCCCGCGAGGGTGAATCGCGCGGCCCTCGGAGCGGGGGAGAGGGGGGGTGCGTGCGAGCCAGAAACGAGCCAGTTTCTGTATTGGATTGTGTATTGGGCGAGCCCTTTTCGGGCGCCCTCAGAAACAAGGCCTCTGAGGAGCTCCTGAGGAGCTTCTGAATCGCCTCTGAGCGGCGCGCGTGAGGGTGAAGCGTGCGGTCCCCGTTGTTTCACGCGCGCGACGGCACCCTCACGCGTCGGCCGACGCGCCGCACGCGTGAAATAACGGGGACCGCACACTTCACCCTCACTCGCGCCCTCACGCGCGCGTGAGGGTGAAGCGTGCGGTCCCCGTTGTTTCACGCGCGCGACGGCACCCTCACGCGTCGGCCGACATGCCGCACGCGTGACAAAAAACGGGGACCGCACACTTCCCCCTCACTCCCCTATCGCGCCCCTCACGCGCGCGTGAGGGTGAAGCGTTGCGGTCCCCGTTTTTCTCCAGGGCTGACTGCTGCACGACTGTGAAGGCACGGACCATGCCGCACGCGTGAAAAAACGGGGGACCGCAACACTTCACCCTCCACCTCGCGCCCGTCACGCGCGCGTGAGGGTGAAGCGTGCGGTCCCCGTTGTTTCACGCGCGCGACGGCACCCTCACGCGTCGGCCGACATGCCGCACGCGAGAAAAAACGGAGACCGCACACTTCACCCTCACTCGCGCCCTCACGCGCGCGTGAGGGTGAAGCGTGCGGTCCCCGTTATTTCACGCGCGCGACGGCACCCTCACACGTCGGCCGACATGCCGCACGCGTGAAAAAACGGGGACCGCACACTTCACCCTCACTCGCGCCCTCACGCGCGCGTGAGGGTGAAGCGTGCGGTCCCCGTTATTTCACGCGCGCGACGGCACCCTCACGCGTCGGCCGACATGCCGCACGCGTGAAATAACGGGGACCGCACGCTTCACCCTCACCGATTTGGGTTCCAAAATCCTGCGGTGTAGGGCCTAAACCCTAAACCCTAAACCCTAAACCCTAAACCCTAAACCCTAAACCCTAAACCCTAAACCCTAAACCCTGAACCCTGAACACTAAACCCTAAACCCTAAACCCTAAACCCTAAGCCCTAACCCCTAACCCTAACCCTAAACCCTAAACCTCGCTCGCCTCGCTCGCACCGGACCCCTGCGGAAAGGGGGGGAGGGGGGGGGGGGGGTTCCGAACCCCCCGCCCCCCCACCCCTTCAAGGAGGGGGGGGGGGGGGAGGGGTTTCGCGAACCCCTTCCCCCCCTTTCAATAGGGGGGGGGGGGGGGGGGGGTCGAACCCACCCCCCCCCCTTAAGGGGGGGTAGGGGGGGGGGTGGGGTTTCCTCGAACCCCCCCCCCCCCCTTAAGGGGGGGAGGGATGGGGGGGGTGTGCCCTGGAAGCAGCACCGGTTTGGGCAAGTGCAAGGTGATCCACACTGGCGCTCTTTCTATTTTTGTTTTTTTGTGCGCGTCGGGAGTCCCGATGGCAGAACTGCGCCCTCAGGGCCACGCGCGTGGTCCGCACAGAGGCCTCAGGGCCACGCCTGTGGCCCTGAGGCTGTCGGGCCACGCGCGTGGCCCTGAGGAGCTGGCCAGGGCCACGCGCGTGGCCCTGAGAGCCTGGACGGGCCACGCGCGTGGCCCGCCGAGGTGCGTTTGGGTTGCGTCGGGCCACGTCGGTGGCCCGCTTGCGGCGGGCCACGCGCGTGGCCCGCCGCTATCATGTCGCGGTCGGGCCACGCGCATGGCCCATCCCCTCATCGGGCCACGCGCGCGGTCCGCGGGTCGGCAGGGCCACGCGCGTGGCCCGAATCAACATCGGGCCACGCGCGTGGCCCGCACCAACGTCGGGCCACGCGCGTGGCCCGACCTCGGGACGGGCCACGCGCGTGGCCCGATGTTGATTCGGGCCACGCGCGCGGCGCATCGCGGGCATGTCGGTGGCCCGATGGGGGAGGCGCGATGTCGCCTCAAGCGACGCGCCCGGGCGTCGCGCGGTGTCGGGTTACGCGCGTGGCCCGCGGCGGCGCGCGCGTCGGGCACTCCCCCCAGCGCGTGATTGCGTTGAGGCTTGCGCCCGCGCCGATGCGAACGTTTGTGCCCCTCCCGCGCTCCCGTTGGCAATGCAGTCGCGCTCCTGGGACCTTGGTCGTGCGTTTCCCGGCGCACCCGCGCTACGTTGTGGCTCTGCCGCCGCCCCAGCGCCATTGCGTTTACAGCGCCGCGCGGCTAGCGCATCGACAAACCAGCCATCTCATCGCATCTCCATTCACCTCCTCACCGCCCCGCCCCCTCCACCTCCCCGATCCACCCTCGCCTCCTCCACCTCCTCACTCATCACCCCTACCCACCCTCACCCCGCCCCGCGGTCCTGCGGCCAGGGGGGCCGCCCCCGCGCGACTAGGGGGCGAAGAAGCCCGCCTCGCTACACGCAGGGCACACGAACCCCTCGCGCGGGTGACCGTCGTCGGCTACCATGTCGACGCAGGCGTTGTGCCACGGAGATAAGCAACATGTGCACATGCACAGCTGGAGCTGCACGCGCCATTCTGGGTCCCCGCCCATGCCCCCGAGGATGTCGCCCTGGCACGACACGCACTCCAGCTCGTTCGAAGCGAACGGCCCCTGGAACATGCGCGTGTTGGCGCGGGTCTGCAGCGTGAGCGCCCACGGCGTCATGGGCGGGCGCCCGGCCGCCGATGTCTGGAGCATGATGGTCATGGTGTCCCGAATGATCACCTCGTAGTTGCCGTCGTTCAAGTCGATCTCTGGGACAGGGCCCACAGTACAGATACTATTGTAGCGGTCGAGCTGGATCTGCCTACACTTCCCTGGCCTTGTCGTCCACCGCACAAACATCACGAGGTCTCCGCGCTTGATCAGCGAGATCACTCCATGGCGCATCGGATGGGTGGCGGGGGACTGGGTGGCGATCTGCCCCCAAGCAAGGCGCAGTCGCTCCTTATTCACCCGCACTCGCTCCTTTATCCCCTCGATGAGGGGATCCTCGGGCTCAAGTGGGCGGACTGCTGCTCCCGCCGCAGGTCGGGGGCGCTCGGGTTCATCTGGCTCGTCTGCGTGGCCGCTCTCGTCAAGGACTGCGTCTTCGGCCGCCTCCAGCTGGTCCTCGAAGCCTTCTTCTAGCTTTGCGGCCTCTGCCTCTCTCGCCTCGACTTCCTCCATGATGCGGCCGAGCTCGGACTCCAACTCCTGGGCCCATGGGTCCACCTGGTCATCGTCGGCCTCCGTGACCCCGTCTTCCTGCTTCCGCGGCGGGCGCGGCGTCAGCGTCACGGTGGCCCTGCTGTGGGGCGTAACGTTTGCCTGGAAGACGGCGTTCCACACGAGCGTCTCTCGCGTCAGCTCGAGGTCCTCACCTACACGCCGTCGTTTGCTCGACAGCCCGTCGCCTTGCGGCGGAGCCTGGAGCCCTCCACGTCGCAGTAGGAAGTCGCGCAGGGGCAATGTCTCCAGCGGCTGGTTCAGGGTAAAACACTTCGGCCCAAAGAAGGTATCAACGGAGCCCAGTGCAACCCACAAGTGGCATGAATACGACCAGCACAGCACGAAGTACACATCTTTCCTCCCGCTGACGTGATACATGTGGCGCACGTCGATATCGAGCTCGGCATACGCCGCCAGGGACAGGCCGCACGCCCGGGCAGCATCTGTTGGAGCTTGATGCTTGCAAGGCTTGAAGCGTGGAGGCTCTGGTAGAAGCTGGTCCGACGTGATCGGCAAAAACCTGAACGCTTGCCCTGGCAGCGCTTGCAAAAAAAAAAAAACAGACAAGGGAAAGAAACAAAAACCCATAAAAATAAAAAGAAAAAAAAAAGCAAGCAAAAAGCGCTTGCGAGGCTGTCACGGCCGTGTGCATGGAGGCGCACTCCTGGGCGGTGATGTCGGGGCTCTTCTTGATGACCATCCGCGCCGTCGCCATGGGGAGCTTCAGGCGGGGAGCGAGCTTCGCCATTTGTTGGAGGATGCTGTTCATCCCTTCCAGGTCCTGGTTATCCAGCGGCAGCTTGCTGCGCAGAAGCACCAGCGCATTGTAAAGGCGGCGCGGGCAGCCCCCATCCTCGCGCGCCTTCTGAAACTCTCGCCCGAACAAACGTTAATATTTTATTGCCAGATCCGAATAGGGCGCCTGAAGGCAGCAATCGTCAGTCGTCATGAGCTCCGTGGCGACCAGTTGCCTCACGGGGTCGAACTCGTGCGGAGGCTGCTCCACCATCCTCAAGAGCAGCAAGGGGAAGGACGTAACCTTGGTGCGCACGCGGTGCTCCCAGCTCGCCGCCTCTGCAAGGACCAACCTCACTATCAAAGCGCACGCGGAGGCCCGCACCTCGCGGTGTTGCAGCGACTCCCACAAGGGGCCCCACACGGTGTCCTCGTCCATGGCCGTACTCGTGAGCAAGGCGCAAATCTTCTGGTAGATGTCGTTCGACTTGCTTCCAACGAGCTCGCTGAGGGGAGTAGGTCCAACGTAGGTTGTTCCCAACTTATCGGCCGCCTTCAGCAGCTGATTGTTCTTGCCGACGGCCTTCTGAGCCCAATTGTGAACTCTGAGAGAGGCCCCTTTGCGACCAGGCTGATAAGGACCTGGGCGTTCCACAAGCGGCTGTTAGTGCATGACACAGATGTGAGTCTGTATGTGCGCTGTTCGGCTTTGTACTGGGCGTCCTCGTCAGCCCCAACCCGCGGCCCACCCCCAGCCTCCGCGGGCTGCGCGGACTTCGCAGCTGCGACGTCTTTCTGCCAGACCTTGGCGAAGACTTGTCCTATGTACTTGCGGGCAGCCGCCAGGAGTTTCTCGACGTCGCTGATGCGACCCCATCTGCCGCGCAAGGGGCGCCCGGGCAGGCGGCCGAAGTACGCTTCACTGACGTGCCCATCAAATAGTCGGGCAGCAGCGCCCTTGATCTTCCGATGCGACCCAGGCGTCCTCCACACATTCGCCACAGTCGCCACCGAGCAGAAGTATCTACCAGGCGGCGCCGCCATACCGTCAGCACCCGTATCAGGCCACTCCCACTCCTCCACGATAGTAAGCATGGCCAGCACCGCTAGATGGATCTGGTGCATGAAACAAAATACCATCACGAACGACACCGAGTCGTTACCCAGAAGCCGTTGTCGGATACGCTTGCACATGCCAAGATTGTCGGGGCCCGCGTCGGCCCCGAAGCAATATGTGGCGACGCGACGGGCGTCGGCACCAGGCGCCCTGGCCGCGGCGATGGCCTCGTCGGCTCGAGCCTCCCACGACGGACAAGACACCGACTTCAGCTCCAGCAGCGAGAGCGCATACGTCTCCGCCCCATTGCCATGCACCACATTCTGAAGGTCGCACACAGCCCGCACGTGCACAAGCTGTTCCGCGAGCGCCATCAGATCGCCCTGATCGTCTCCGTCGAAAAGGGCGAGCGAGGGCACCCCGATCGACGCGACCGTGGCACAATGGATCTTGGTGTGGTCTATGGCTTCCTGGTGGGTCGCATCCGACTTGAAACAATGTACCTCCATCTCGCAGGCGCCCAGCGCATCGTATTCAGAAGCTGCCCTCATTTGCAGGGCATGTGCAGTATGATGCTCGTACCTGTACACGATGTGTTTGTCGTGCAGGTCGCCCTTCTCTTCGCCCCCAGCAATCATTCCGAGCGTTGCTTGGCCACCAGCGTGCCCGACGTTTCTGCTGAGGGGCAGGGCATACCCGCCGTAGACGGACACGTTCCTCAAGTTCGGGCGGAGGTTGAGTTTGTGCACCAACGCCTCGCGCTCCTCCTCGGTAGCCCGAAGCATTGCCACTAGCGCTTGGTTCCTATTCCTGTGGTAGCTCTTAAGCTTCTGCGCATCGTGCAGCCGCGCTTTAAGGTCCTCTATAGTGGCGTCTCGGACGCCCAGCACCGCGACGAGTTCGCCGTGACTGAACTCGGCGTAGGGCACGCCGCCAGCATGCGGCACGCAGGCAGCGGGAGGCTCGTCGTGGTCCGCCACAGGCATGGCATGACTGGAGCCGTGGCCCTGGAGCGGGGCAGCGCTCCCCGATGCCGAAGAGCCCCGCTTCGCCCGGGCTCGTGCTTTTTGTTGGTTGAGCTTGTGCGCTCCGATCTCGGTGGCGATATACGCCACGTCGGTAGGTGAGATGTCCATGTCGCAAAAAAACCTGAACACGCTGGGCGACGCGCTCACGGCGAAGTCGCTGTGGCCCAGCGTGCCCGCCCCAATCCCGTCCGAGTCGGCCACGTCCTCCAAGTAGCTCTTGATCTTGAACCGCCAGCTTCTGGCGGCTCCGCTGGAGACCTCATCGCCCCCACACCCGAGGCCGAACATCACGAGGTGCGCGGCGTCGATGTACCGCAGCCTCCCCTTGGCGAACTGAGGCGCCATCTGTCGCTCGGCGGCAACGGCCACCGCATCTCCCAGGAACGCTGCCTTGGAGACATGCATCTCCTGGGAGCGTCGTTTCCCGCTCTGCGCGCAATGACTGCGCAGCTTAAGTACCCTCCGTTCCTCCTCTCCTCCACCGCTACACCGCTACTCCCATATCCCGCCCCTCCTCCCCCCCCCCCCCCCTCCCCCGTCCTTCCCACGGCCGCCCCCCCCCCCCCTCCCGCCTCCCATATCCCGGCCCCCCCATCCCCCCTCCCCCATCCCACTCTTTGCCGCGCGCCCCTCGTCGCTCCACCCCTTCATATCCTCGCCAACCCCCTCGCATCCTCCTCTCCCCTCTCGCCCCCCTTGACCCCCCTCACCCTTCACCACGCTCTCTCCCACTTCATCCCCCTGCTTCCCTGCCTGGCACCCCATCCCCCTACCCTCCCCCCCTTCCCCACCTTCCGCTCTTGCACCTCCCCGGGCCGATCAGCGCCCTCAACTCAGCGCCCGCAGGCTGTCCAAGCGGGAGACAAAACCGAGCTCCTGCAAGTGGAGCTCAGCGCCGGAGGCTGCTCGGCGCGCCGCTGCCGGCCCGCTGACCTGGGGCAAAAAAAAAAAAAAAAAAAAAAATGGAAAAAAGAAAAAAAAAAAAGAAAGAAAAAAAAACAAAAAAAAAAAAAAAAAAAAAAAAAAAAAGTAAAATAAAAAAAAAGGGCGCAGGGAAAGGGCGCAGGAGGGCTGGGCGTCGGTAGCGTTGCGGAGGGGAGGAGCTGGGGGGGGGAGGCGACGGGGGCCACCCAGGAAGGACCAGAGGGAAGCGGAGGGATCCAAGGCGGGATGAGATGCGAAATAGAGGATGAGGAGACGGAGCGCCACGAAGAAGAGGAGGAGGAGGAGGGCGACGACGACGGCGACGGCGACCACGACGACGACGGCGACAACCACCACGACGACGACGACACCGACGGCGACGACGATGGCGGCGGCGGCGACGGCGGCGAGGACGACGACGACGACGACGGCAAGAATGACGACGACGGCGTCGACGACGACGACGACGACGACGACGACGACGACGGCGCGGACGACAACGAGCCCCCAACGGCCCGCGCGGCGGGCGCCTCGCTGGGGCTGCAAGCAGGTAGGCCGCCCAGGCTGCCCGGCCAGCGCGCAGATCGCCGCGACCGCCTCCCCTCTCCCTCTGCGAGTATCGGAAGGCGGCCGGGTGTGCGCAGAGGGGGGAGGAGGACGCTGGAGGAGGAGGACGCTGGAGGAGGGGCTGCGCTTCTTTCCCACCCATGAGCTCTAGCCATCTCAGTGCCCATCCCTCCACAGCATCGTCGTCGTCATCGCCGTCATCGTCGTCGTCGTCGTCGTCGCCGTCGCCCTCGTCATCGTCATCGTCGTCGTCTGTCCCCCGTTCGCTCCTATCTCTCCGCCTCGCACAGAAGGCGCGTTTGCCACCCTTCACCCCCATTCCACCTGTCCGTGCCAGTGCCGCCCTCTCATTCCCACCTCTCCTGCCCTCGGGGACCACAATCTACTTGCGCCCATGGGGGTCGCTACATCAGGCACAATTGGGAAGGGTGGGCACCTGCCTGTGATCAGCCCGACACAGCCACTTCACCACGGGGCTTCATGAGGGAGGAAGCGGCATGCGGAAACGAAGGCGCTCGTTTCTGAGCGCAGTTGAAAGGCCGTCGCGAAAGTCGCGCAATCGCGCGGCACGCGGGAGTCGTGCCGTTCGGGCAGCAGCGCGGGCCACCGCCACTTATGGCGAGTGAGCCGACCAGCAGCTGGAGGCTCGCAGCACCTGACGCGCACCCGTGCGCTCACTCCTCGCACAACCTTTCCACGCACCCATCACCCGATGGGCACGACGGGTGCACTGGAGGGAGTACGGGGCCACGCCCATGGCGCAACGGGCGTCCAGCTGCCGCGAGTGTTAGGACGGCGGAGCCTCCCAGCCTCCGTTGCCATCGGCGTGCGGGCCCCTCCTCCCTCAGCAGGAGTACTGGAGGGAGTACGGGGCCAAGTCCCAGCGAGAGCTACCTCCTCTCCCCTCGCCCCCCCCCTCCTCCCGCAGCCCTCCCCCCTCTTCCCTCATACCCTACCCTCCACCGCCCCTTATCCTCCTCCTCCTCCTGCCCTCTGGCGTGCTCAGCGGCGGCTGGGGGCACGCAGCAGCGGCGCCCGCGAATCACCACGTGGCGGCGCTACTGCGTTGAATTCTCCATCTAATGGAGCGCGAGAAAACGAGCACCTGGCGCACCGCCACGGCAAGCGAGGGCGGGCCAAGCACGGAAGCACGGCTACAGCACCGAGCGAGTGGACGAGCGAGGAGCGCAGAGTTACCCGCCCCACGAGCCCAGAGGAGCGGGCGGACGAAGAGAGAACTAAACAGCGCTCACCCACCCCACCACCCCGCTCACACGGTGGAAACAGGAGACGTGCGCGGAGGGGGGGGGCGGGAGACGAGCCCGGGCACCCCCCCCTGCCCACTGCCCCCATCCCCTCCTCCCCCATCTCTGCCTCCTCCTCCTCCTCCTCATCCTCCCCATCGCGCTGCTATGCCACCCACTCCTCACTGCTATGATCCGTCAGATCCCCTCGCCCAGGGGCTGGCGGGCTGAGCGCTCACTGGAGTTCCTGGAACTCCTCGAGCGCAGGTACGGCACCGAGCAGGTCGGCGCGTCGCAGTTGCCGCCTGCCCAGGGCGGGGAGGAGGAGGCGAGACGCTGGGCGGCTTGGAAATAGGACATGGCATGGGGGAAGCGAGAAGAGGGCAGCAGAATAGAGGGCGGGTGGAGGGAGGGGCGTCCAAGAAGCGAGGGCGAAGATGGCTGGGTCGTCGCCGCCGTCGTTAACTGCGCCCGGGCCCACCTACGAAGCGACGAAGCCCATGACAGCGTTCACCACCGTCGAGGGGCAGCGGCGAAGCACCACGGACACGCCCAGGGTCTTGAGCACGTACATCTTCCCGATGTGCTTGCACACGTGCTCCGCGTGGGCCCTGAGCACCGCGTCGCAGAAAGCGGGCGTGTACGCAGCGCTCTCCGCGAGGGCCTCCGAGGGAGCCCCCGTCAACCCACTATGGCCCACCCGTCGCTCTTGTGTCCACCAGGTTTCCCTTCCCTCACGCGGCGCCATGCCTCCTCCACCTCCTCCGCCCCCCCCCCAACTTGCCCCATTTCCCCCTCCTTGTGCCCGTCAGCACTCGCCCATCACACCACATCCCTCCCCCATCCACCCCCTCCTCAGTTCCATCCTCCGCCCCTACTGCCTCTACTGAATATCTCCCCCGAGTTCCCGCGGCGCCTTCTTGTCGCCACCGACCGCGCCGCCCATGCTGTCCTTGTAGAGGCGCGCCGCAGAGCCAGAGCTGGCCTTGCACCTCATCCTCGCGATGCCAATGTTCTGGCGGGCCAGCGCCATCTTGCGGATGGCGGGGAGGAACGGGCACTTGCCGATCAGCCTGGTCGGCTTCATCGTGTCCTTGCCGAAGGACACCATGTTGAAGGTGCACTCGTGCCACTTGGTCTCCACGTCGTCCAGCAAGAACCTGGGCTTGACCCACGGGAGCTTGTAGAAGTAGCTGTTCGCAGGCTGCTCGACGATCACGAACGCGTTCTTCTTCATGGCCTGGGGGGGGCGCGCCCGCTGACCCCTTACGAGATTCCAGATCGACCCTAATGTTAAGCTGTTCCTGGGCAATCTCCCTCACGACGCCTCCCAACCTCAACGCCTTGGGCGGCGGGTGGCGAGGAGGGCCACGATGGGGGGGGGCTTGAGGGGAGCGAAGCAGGGGGCGCACGAGCGCACGAGAAGTAGGGATACCAGGAGGCACTGTGGCAGCATATTCTAGCATCTGCCCGGGGAGCCGTGATGATGTCGCAGATGTCGAGCATCAGCTGGCTCATCGTGTTGCCCACTCCCGTCATCCAGTGGCTGGGGTCGCCCTGGGGTTGCGCGTTGCTCCTGCGCGAGCGCCGCGCGTCGTCGTCGTCGTCGTCGTCGCCGTCGTCGTCGTCGTCCGTCGTCCGTCGTCCGTCGTCCGTCGTCGCCCGTCGTCCGTCGTCGTCGTCGTCGTGGTCGTCGTCATCTTCCGTCGTCGTCCGTCGTCCTCCGTCGTCGTCCGTCGTCGTCGTCGTCCGTCGTCCGTCGTCGTCCGTCGTCGTCCGTCGTCGTCTGTCGTCCGTCGTCATCGTCGTCGTCGTCCGTCGTCGTCCGTCGTCGTCAGTCGTCGTCCGCCGTCGTCCGTCGTCGTCCGTCGCCGTCGTCGTCGTCGTCGTCCGTCGCCGTCATCGTCATCGTTTTCGTCGTCGCGTTCGTCGTCGTCCGTCGTCGTCCGTCGTCGTCGTCCGTCGTCGTCGTCGCCCGTCGCGTTTATTCCTTTATGATTGGGGGGGGGGGAAAGGTGCACGGGCTAGCTCAGGTCCTCCTGGTGTGCACGCTCGTCATGAAGATGAAGTACTTGCACGGGCAGCCCGCCATGACGATGCCGTACGTGTGGAGCCGCAAGAGCGCGACGCAGAGCCTGAGGCGCCCGGGCAGGAGGGCAAGAGAATTGGAGGATTGGAGGGTTGGGGAGGAGGACGAGGATATGGAACTGCTCTCGAACTGATGCGTGCATGACGTGCTGGGGGGCAGACGGGGAACTCAAGTGGGACATGGGGGGTGAGAAGTAAAGCTGCGGACCGACGTGAACGAGGCGGCCGTCAAGGGGCTCATCTGGGGCGGGGCCCATGAGCACGTTCCCCCCACCCGCGGGGAAAGAGAGGATGGTGGCCTGAACTTGCCGAACTCCGTGAGGATGTCGTCTGAGCCGCTCTCGACGTCTTCCCACGAGGCGGGGTACGAAGTCTTGTCGAGCTCGTAGGTCCGAACGCCCATGCCCCGCGCCATGGCCTCGCGGGTGAAGTTGGCCTTGCCCGCGAACAAATCGATGGCGCCCAACACCGCCACATTGTACGCGTTCACGAACTCCACGGCATCCTGGGCAAGGGGCTCGCACTAGATAGGGGGTCGCACGGATGGTGGGGGGCGGGGGGGGGCCGGGCGCACCGGGCGCA